TGAGAAGTTCAACTTGACAGAGGTACTGTTTCCTCTCTGTCTTCCAAATTTCCAGGGATGGAAATATGACTGGCTCAGCTGGGGTGAGTATCAACTTAGTTATGATCACTGAGGGTGTTGGGGAAAGACTTTTACACAGTACTTTTGTAGCTGCTGGAGATCACTGCTGGAGATCAGCCATTGGAAGTAAGACAGTCCATAAAAGCAGTCACCATGAGCTAGGTAGACATTGCAAAAGTTTTCTACTAAAACTTTTATTTACTATTATTTATGATAACTCAATAGATATCCTTGTAAGTATGTCCTGATAGACATTACCTGATTACTTCTTTATGATAAATTCCTAAAGGTAGAATTATTGGGTCAAATGTATTATTATGATTAAAGTTTTAAATTCATGTTATCAAAATTGTTTTTCGTTGGGTTAATTCACACTCCTATCAGCAGTATTACAAAATGACCACTTGGTAAAACGCAATTCCTTTGTCGGTACTGGGTCTTATTTTTCTTAACCTTTGACAATGTGATAAATGAATCTGATGTCTCATTGTTTTTATCTATCTTTTCTCTTATAATCAAGAAAACTGAATATTTTTATATGCTTTGGGGATATTTTTACTTCTATGTTTTTGAAGTATCTAATTACATAAATCAGCCATTTTTAAATAGAGCTACTTTTTTCATCCTAATGGCTACATAATAGCTCTTTATATATTAATATACAAAAAATTTACTTTTTAAGATCTATGTTGAAAATATTTCTATTTTTATTTTTGTTTATAGAGAGGGTTTTGATTTTTTTTTTTTTTTGGATGGCAGGTTATATCTAAGAAGATGATTTTACTTACATATGAATTGTCTTCAGATCAACTTTAATAATTGATTTTTTAAAATACTATGGAGAACAATAGAGTAAATATTAACAAATGAATCTTGAATACTTAATGAGTATGGGGTGCCAAGCAAATATGCACTCATGGAAGCCTCTGTTATATTAATGGAGATCTAATTCCATCCTCTTTTAATCATTGTGATAGTTCAGTCTGTCTCCTCTTTCTTGGATTTTTTCAACTGGCCCTAAATTGTCTCTGCCTCTAGTTTCAGCCAAGCCATCTTTCATCACTGCCCCCAAATAATCTTTCTGATATATACATTACATGTCATATATCTGCTTAACCCCCTTTGATGGGTTCTAGTTGCCTTCATGATAAAATCCAAACACTTAGCACAAGGCCCTTCCCTACCTGTATCCTACCAAGTGTCTCTGGCTTTCCTCTGTCTTTATGTCACACATACTTTAGCCAAACACACTAATTATAGTTCTCCAAACATACCTTGTTGCTTCACAGATCTGCAAAACCTTCTGTTATTTCTTCTATATGGAATCCCCTTACTGTCAGTCACTGCTGATGAACTCATTCATTTTTTTAAGACCTACACAAGTCTTTATCTACTCTAGGAAGTCTTCCTACCTCTCTCTCCTGTTCCTGTATGTAGATGGCCTCTAGGCTGCCACAGCACTTTATACCAATCTTTCCCTTGGCTCTTCTCAGTCTAAGTCTCTACGTCTGTTTCTCCCAGAAGACCATCATGTGATGAAAGCTTCCTCTCTCCTCATAATGCATGGTCTTACACAAAGCAAGTGTGCTAATGTCAAAGTTTTAAAGAGGAATTAAACAATACATCAGAGTGTCAGGGCATTAATAGCAATCATTTGTACAGTTCATATCATTTAGAGTACTCATTATATTGCTTTTTTTGCATATGCCTTAATTTCCACATTTTTAGGTTTAAAAGAATGTTATCAAGCAAATATCTTCAGACAATAAACTAGAATTGATGGAAATTAAGAAACTTAGTTGTAAGATGTAAGATGTCATAAGATGAACTTAGATATAAGTTCAATATGTCAGGTGCTGCTAAAAATTCCAGGAGACCTAAGAACATCTTATTTTCAAATATCTATAATATTTAAAAGTTATGGAATAATGCAATATAGTTTATTTTTAAAGGAATAATGCAAATGCAGTTCATCTTTAACTCAGACCCCTGATTTGAGGACATCAAGTAGAAACTCCAGACCTAGAATTTGGAGAAGATGAGAGGAGATTAAGAAGGTAATATAAACCTCAAAGTTGCTAAAAGACTAAGATTTGTTCTCACAATAAAAAAGAAATTATAATTATGTGACATGATAAAGCACTAAAACCTTAATGGTACTCATCTTGCAATGTTTCAAATCAGCAACTTATACAATGTTGCATGGCAATTATATATCAATTAAGAAAAGAAGATTAAAAAGTTGAGCACAAACACAAAAGTACTGTGAAACTCATAACTTTATGTATAATCCATTGTACCTCAGACACTGAGATAACTCCTTTTTCCAGTATCAAAGTGATTAAAACAGCATTGTGTGCGGGTGTGCTAAGTCGCTTCAGTCATGTCCAACTCTTTGTGACTCTATGGACTGTAGCCTGCTGGGCTCCTTAACTCCAAATTGAAATAAATCAAAAAGTTTCCAGTTTCTTTGCTAGACTGAAAACAACCCAAAGATTCAGCAAGTAAGAGTGCTGACAATTTATATTATCATGGTCTTAAAATAACTGAGAGGTCTTTAGGCCCTGGCATAGGGAGCTGCAAAATATTAAATGAGGAAAGCAACTTGCAAAATATAATCTATATAATCTCATTTTTGTGAAAAAATCTTAATATACATGTTTATATTCATATATACATATATATATATATATTTATTTATTTAAAAACCCAAAACACCATCCAAAATTTAGTTGTTATCCTGGAGTAGGCAGAAGGCCGTTCAGCAAGGGGACGTGTGCTCTCTACTTCACATGTTTCTGTTAGGCTTAAGTTTTCACAATGAGAAGGCATTAGCCTTGTTCAAAACAATATGGGTATGAAATCTTTCCTTTGTGGGAAAAAGTTCTGAGGGAGTAGGAAAGCACATCAAAAAACTTGTTTTAAACCAGGTCTCCCTCTTCACAGAAAAGTCACCCAAGTCTGCTCTACTTCCTACAAGTTTTTCCCTCCCCTGGGAATTTCTTAGTCAAGTAACTGTAGAGAACTCTGTCCCTGTTGTCAGGGAAGAAGTTAGGATTGAAATTCATGAGTCATCGTGCCTTGTTTTCCTAGGACTTAACTCTGGGTCTTAAACAGACTCTGTGGCTCCCTTTCTGAAAGATGAAAGAGAGAAAAACCTACAAAGGGTACAAACTTTTCATTACAAGATGAACAAGTTCTAGAAATCTAATGTAGAGCATAGTAACTATAGTTAACAATACTGTATTGTACACGTGAAATTTGCTAAAGGAGTAGATATTCAGTGTTCTCATCACACACACACACACTGTTACCATGTGAGGTGTTGGATGTATGAATTAACTTGATTATGGTAATCATTTCACAATACAGACATATATCAAACTATCATATTGGACACCTTAAGTACATACAATTTTCATTTGTTAATTATACTTCAGTAAAGCCTAGGAGAAAAAAAGAGAGAGTGAAGGACCTAAAGCTGTTTGTGTTGGGGTCAAAACTGACTGAGCTTATCTCACTGAGATCCCTTATCTTAAGGGATCTCAAATAAAGATCTGGAAGATTCAAAATGGACAACAAAGTTCATGGTCAAATATTCAAGAGTCCTATCCTCTGGCCTGAAAAATCCAATAATGAATGGACCTAATAACTCTTTATTTTCAGTTCCCTTTGCCAGTGTAGATCTGGCCAGAGAGCGTTCTGAAGCAAGAGAAATAAAGATGAAGGGGAGGAAACAAAGACAGACCATTGTTTCTGGGGAGCCCTGAGGAAAGTGATGCAGATGCTGAAGCAGATGTGACCACATGGAAGTGTGTTGGGGGCCCTTTGGGTTCCTGTGCTGTGACTCAGGTGACCCTTCCTGGGAAAGCAGCTCTGAGATGTGAGAACAAGAAGCTTGGGTGCCCTCTTGGCTTCACCTTAGGGACTTGGTTGCCTTTTGAAATCTCATCCTTTCTTTGAAGCTCGAATTCTACCTTCTTCAGGAAACCTTCCCAAATAAGCCTACATGATTTATACTCAGTTTGTAGCAGTTTAATATCTTATTAAATGACATTCTTGTATTATCGCCTTACTAGGTTGTAGGTGTCTTTAGGGTAGAAATCCTATTTTAGTTTTTAAAATGTCCACAATGTCTAGTGTTGGGTTGAGAAAGTAATGTGTTCAACAAGTAAGTGTTTAATGGAAAAGTTGAAAGGAGGAAACCATCAGGCTCCTAAAGTTGCCTAAGCTTCATTCTAACTTGAAGAATACAGAGAGTTGAGTCATATCCCTGCATTCTCAAATCAGAGTGCTGAGGTTCACCCAGTACACGCTATATTTTTCTCTGAAGAAAGCTACACTGAATGCAAATGAAGTCTCAAAGCCCTACAAAGTACAGTCGGGAAAACACAGTTCCTTCTAAATCCCTTTGGGGACCAGGCTCCCCTCTCCGTGCGTCTGTGTCTGCGTTGAGTATGCCTGGGTGGGGGAGGCTGTGGTGGGGTGGGAGGAGGCAGAGGGAGGAGAAAGACTCCATGCAGTGATTATGTGGAGGGGATTTGCTATGTCCCTTTTCTACCCCCCCCTTTTCTTTGTCCTCTTTCTCTGTGTTCCTCTCTTTGTCCCCTTTTCCTCGTCCCCTTCTTCTGCATTTGTCTGGGAGAGGATCCTGGAGTGTTCTTTTGATCGAATCAATCTTTCTCTGGCACTTGAGTTCTGATTGGCTGAAGGACTTAGGGAGGAAAAAAAACTTTAATTAAGGAGATAATCTCTTCTTTGGAAGTTTGGCAGCTCCATTTCACCTCCCCTTAAATCTGTTTGAGATCACTTACACACCAAGGAAGTTGGGGTTTGAGGGGAATTCCACCCCACTACCACTGAGGAGAATACTTTTCCGTCTTACCTCTCTGTCTCCCAAAGTTTAGAATTTTCTATCCTTGTTACTCCAAAGGATTAGGATGCTTGTGAAGCCTTCTGTGTGCATCTTTCTTTTCACCTGTGTCTTCCAACTCAGCCATACCTGGTAAGTAACCTGGACTCTTACCTGGAACTGGGAATAGGTAATTGTGTGTAATCTATTGGAGAGAGCTTATTTGCATTTCCAGAACTGTAGGAAGCCTTGGGATCTCTCCTAGGGGGAAAAAAATTGATCCACGGAGTAGGACTCTTTCTAAATTTATGGTTGGTTTTAGTAAATCTTTAAGATTCTTGGAAATATAGGAATGGACTATAAGATGGGGGGTTCTTACTTTTATAAATTGCTGGACCACATATATTCAAGTCATTTTGGGGGAAACGGACAGGAGCCCTTTTTACCAAATTCTAATGTCAGCATTGTGGTGAAGAAGAAGGTGGTTCAGAGAAAGATCTACTGTAAACTGAATCTGATCTTTGAGGTGGAGACGAGAGACAAAATTCAATGGAATCTTATTTTTGCACTTTCTGACTTACATTTTTTTCAGAATATTCTAAGTAACTGCTCATATTGACACTTCCTAGACACTGAAAAATTTACCCAAGTTACTGAGTTGGTACTAGGTTAACAAAAATGTTTGAAATAAACTGTTTCAGAAACCTAAACTTCTCTACAAATGTATTTAATTTATTCCATTTACACATATTTCTAAATTTCTCAGAAAATGAGAAAATGTGTCTGAAAATGCTTTGTAATCTATAAACCATTACACAAATCATAGATGATATTATCATCCTTTTCATTTAGCTCTTGGAAACCATAAAAATATCTATATAAGGAAATGTTAACAAGCAAGTATGGAATAACATAAAGAAGAAAGACCTGGGAGATACATGTCGTGAGGTGTTTGGAATTTCTCCCCAATTAAATTATAAACTCAGTTTCTCTCTTTATCAATTTTAGCTTTGCCCAACTATGTAACCAAGATATAAATCCAATTGCTGCATAAACTACTGAGAAAACAAAAATAGGAATTTCATTGCTAAAATCAGCTTCCTATGCTAGTTGAGAGTGTATTCTAATTTTAAATGAGTAAAGCCATCTTTATTAAAGAGTTGATCAGAAGTGTGTCAAATGAGTACAATTTGCAAGCTAACACAATAATAACTGGTCAGTTTTTAATTGGCATTTTAATTAAATATATCATGTTGAAAAAAGTCTGTCTTCTCTCTCCTTCATGAGAACAAAAAGACAAAAGGGAGAGGAGACTATTTCAGAGCATTTTTACTGACGTTCATGGTATTCTTCAGCTGATTCAGTATCAGCAAAAGAGAAACACGAGATTCCTTTCCCCAGTCACCAGGGCAGTGTGAAGAATTGTTCTATAAAAATACCTTTACTGTGTGTTCCTTCCCTGCTGGAGGGGGTCATGTTCATTTCATTCCGATACTGACACAGCCACACTGAAAGGTGGCTGGGTTGCTTGTCTGTCCAAATTCAAGTGTCTGGATTCAAAAAGAGACAAGAAAAAAGAGATGTGAAAGAAAGTTCTAATTTAAAAACAGGGTTTAAGAACCCCTTCTTGCCTCGCCTGACTTTGAGGAGAAAATGTACAAATCTCCTGTATAATGCAATTAGATTTTAATTGCCTTTCCCCTATAAGCCCCAATTTGAATGCAACATTTATAGTTTGCCAAGAGTCTGATTTGGGTAGCATTTGAAAGTGATTTTTAAGCTTCACATTAAATCTTGATTATTCTTATAATGGAACTATCAGGGTTTTACATAAGGTCATCCTTCCCTTTGTGCCATGCAGAGAAATTTGACCAACCGCAGCCTTTCAGAGTTTCTCTTAATACTTCATTATCAACCTTTTATGTCAGGATCCCAAAAGCATTTAACAAATACAGAACCACAATTTCTGCTTGGCTGTTCAATTGTAGGCTTTCCTGAAATTGCTGTCTAAAGGAGTCTATCAACAGAAATTCCTGAGCTTGAAAAAAAGAGAATAAAGATGACATTCACCTACAATCTGCAGTTTTTACTAGATATCTCAGTGCAAGACAATTAGGAGGAAAAAAGCATTCTCCACAGTTCCTTCTTGTTGGGACTTCTCTGAGAATAATTTAGTAACTTGAGATAAAATTCTTTTCTTTGAATTTGTTTTAATCCTAATGACTTAAGAAAGAGAGAGAAGGGGAATGTATGAGCACATGACACAGCCAAGCAGATGGTGATGGTTATAATGGTGGCCAGAGATAAGCCAATTTGACTTTTCACTTCCAATACTTGTATTTATCTGGAGTGAACAGACCTAGAACATGTTTTTACTTAACTTTTACCTTCATTTTATTCCAAATGATGTTTCATAATGATACTAGGTCTTGCTTGGTACTATCCACTTCTCTTTCTTTCTGCTCCACTCAATCACCAAATCAGAAAGATGCACTGGGATGCAGATGTTAGCCCTGGCTCTGCCCTCAGGCTTTAAGAGAGGTTTTTAACTACCTCTCCTTCTTTACAAAGGAGTTAAACAGGGTCAGTTTCTTTTCTGCAGTAGAGAAAGAATTTATCTGAAAACTTAGGGTTTTAAGGCATCTTTGACATATATAATTCCTTGGTTCTCTGCAGGTGCATTTTTTTGGGTAACCTTTCTATGGCTCTTGAAGTTTCATCTGATAATGACATGCAAAACCCCTGATATGAGATTATGTGTGTGTGTTGGGGGTGGGGCTTGAGGCCATATTCTCACCGAACATCATCTATAGTTTATTATTTTTGCATGTATGTGAAGCTATTTTTCATATAAATTATGAATAATAAAACAAACTCATTTAAAAATGATAGAATTCATGGTAATTTGTTGCATATTAAGTTTTGGTTGAATTCTTCCCACTGACAGATATGGAAAGAACAGGTGCGATTGGGTGAGAATCCATTCCATTTCTTTAAGCTAAGAGGATTCTCATCCCCACAGAGGTTGGGGATTTTCAAAGTTGGGGACATAAAAAGTAAGGTGTGTGAAATTGCTTTGGAATCTGGAAAATAATATGCCAATATGAAAGATTCACATACCTAATAGCTTCCCTGCTCAATAAAAAAAGGTTTATAGTCCATTGAAAAAAAAATGGCTTGAGATTTGTGGAGGTGGATTAGGTTGGCAGCTGTACAGTAGGAAGTCCTTCCAAGGGCTTGCGACATGATTACTGAAATTTAATTTCCATTTTGTTATTGATGTCCCAACAGTGGAGCCATGCATTGTTTCTTTCAGAGTCTATCTCTTGCCACATATAATAATATTAATACAATAATTATTATTATTTACAAAGGCTGTGAGGTCTGGAGGAGACACTTCATTACAGCTTTTCTTACAAAACCAGTTTGTAGAAGCGATGATGACAATGCTCCATGACACATCTTTATTTTTGTGTGTGTGGATGATAATGTTATACAAAGAAAGATCTTCTTTTTATGATATTATAGAAAGAAAATTGGGCTTTCCTGGTGGCTCAGTGGTACAGAATTCACCTGCCAATGCAGGAGACGAGGGTTCGATCTCTGGGTTGGGAAGATCCCCTGGAGAAGGAAATGGCAACCCATTTGGTATTCTTGCCTCAGAAATCCCATGGACAGAGGAGCCTGGTAGGCTACAGTCCATGGGGTCACAAAGAGTCAGACATGACTTAGTGACTAAACAACAATAAGCAAATCAGGGGTATTTTTTAAAAGGGTCAGAAGAAAAGAGGTTTCAAACCAAACCCTCTCTATTCCATGGAAAGAGTTTACTTTTTCCCCTTATTTCCCAGCTGGGACAATTGGTTTAATGCTACTCTATATTGGGTGATGCTATTATCTCCAGGACTATTAATAAAATCCCTTTTTCCTGGACTCCATTTACTCTTTTCTTTTTTTTTTTATCCAACTCATATAATCAATTTCTCTTAATCTGCTGGCTGTTTATTACTTTTATAAATCAGGACATTTCTAAAGGATTTCATTTGCTCACATTTGGATGAAATGGGTTTTTGGCTAAAAGATGCCAAAGATTCCACCAGAACCTTGCCATCTACTCATCCTTAAAGACTTAGCTCAGGTAGTCCCTCCTCCAGGAAGTCTTCCTAGATTGAATTAGCTACCTCTGCCTCCATTTTTCATATTTTGTAGTTTAAAAATAGGAAGTTACCTGGCTTACTGAAGTTATTACTGCTATATAGCTATAGGCTCCTGAGAAAGGGGAGCTTATGATTAGCTTTGGCTTTGTCCCAGATTTGTCTTGGGACACAATCTATACTCAGGAATAATAATGATGTGAACCAATAGTTAGTGAGCATTCACTCTGTAACTTCACAAAGGACACATAGCTTGTTAGTAGTGAGACAAGAATTTGACTCAACATCACTTGCTATGCTGAACCACCAAACCATCCTGTGTCAGACAGGACTGCTTTGTTTCCTCTGCCCATGATTTGAGCTCAGCAGCCAGAATACTGGACGGTGCTCCTTCATACTATGGCCAGACTTCTTTCTCTGTCTGGCACTCCAATTCTTTTGGGAATTTTTAATGATATTAAGTTTAGTCTGACAAACTTGCAGAAGTCTGGCACTGAGAAACAAAAGCTTATACCTGGCTAATATTTTTATTTTTAAAAATATTTCTTCTGTTAGCTTACTTATATTGTCTCTTACATTAATTATCCATAGAATGCACTTTTATTTCATTCCTTGCATCTTATTGAAAACTATCTTCTACCTCTTGATTTTTTGGACTAGATATATGAAGTACTGGCTTTTGTCCCAACACTCAAATTACCTGTTCTTTTCAAGATAGCAGGTTTGTGTTTGTATGGAGATCAGTGCAAAAACTTTTGTGCTATCTGTACTGCCTCTGATGTTAAAAGTTTACTTGCAACATAAGGAAGCTAGTTCTGACTATATTCTCCTAAGAATAAAGACATATATTTGTAGCATCTGTTAGAATTTCCAGGAGCCCAAGAATGATTATGGGTATCCTCCTTTTCATCATTTTTCATTTAACAGTTTTTAAATAAACACTTGGGAATCTTTAGAACTTTTTTGCCTTTTGATTATCAAGGTAACTAGCCAATAGTA